AAATGACCTTCTTCTCTTATCTGCTCCCCACCTCAATCTCTTTTCTTTATTAGTTCATTACTTCCTCTCTACCACCGTTCGCATGGTCGTCCCTCAAGAATGCCTCGACCACCTCTGCGACTACGACACCTTGAAGAAGGAAATTCGACCAGACTACGAACTTCGGGGAACTGCGATAAGGAAACCAATCCTCTTGTAACATCGGACATCTCCACCTAGACCAGCAGGACTGTGGCCAGCCCCGCCGACAGTCCTGCTGACTCCTGTGGCACTCAGCTGTGAGTGACGTGTACCCCATCAATTCACCGGTCTGACCAGCCCTATGGCCTTGGATTGGATTGGCGCGTCCACAGCCCCCATCCCCAGATCTCCAGTATAAGCTATTGGTACAGTTAATGGCTCCAAAGAGCCTCCACTTATAGGCTAACCACAGCTCATGCTACTTGAAACTATTTGTTCCGAGTAGCTGAGTCTAAAACAACAACAACTCTCTACTACGAAGGTCCTCCACCGACCAAGAGAGCGTAAGCAGTCATAGAACAACAAATGGAGAGCATCACAAGACCGACAACGACTCACATCTTCACAGACGGATCAGTTGATCAAGAAAGAGGTTCTGCTGGGGCAGCAGTTTACACTACCAACCATGAAGCTTACTGGAGCATGAATAGTGGCTGCTCAACATTGCAAACAGAATTATATGCCCTGAAGGAGGCAATAAACTATACAATTGAGAATTCTTGCAATTCGGGCAATTTTTGCCCGAAACGCATTGCGTAATAGTGGCTTTAGGCATTGTATGTACTAGCTCTATCTATATATCAATCCATTAATGTAACATCACTTGTATGTATATACCTTACCTGAATAAACATCTGAATCTGAATAATTTACATGATGTCATCATTCATTCCGACTCTAAATCTTCGCTCCAGGCATTGTTATCCAGCCAACACAGAGATAATATACAACTCACAGAAATTCTACATATAGGAAACGAAACACCCAGTCTAAAGTTGTCAATCACCCTAAATTGGATATCAAGTCACACTGGTATGGATGGTAATGAAAAGGCAGACTCACTACCAAAAACTGCCACTGCTCTACCTGTTGTTCAGATTAAAATACCTCAAAGTTTTTTTTTTTTAATGTATATGTTTATCTCTCAGAATGTTCGGTAATACGTTTATTGCTTGTGATGTGTGTCTATGTATGTATTAACACGATGTACTGAACGGGGTGAGAATAGCTTGAGCTACCTCATCCCTCTGTGTGTATTTTACCTCAATAAACTTATTTCAATTTCAATTTTCAAGTTTTTCACAGATTAAGGAGCAAATCAAGAAGAAAATACTCACAACTATCAAAAGTCGCCACAGAGCCAAAGTAGCAGAAGGAAGATCCACTGCGATATGGTACGAACAAGCCACTGGTTACTCCTCTTTCAAGCACGCGGGCTGAGGTGGAACAACTTGTTGAGGGAGCCCGGGGGCACGGGGGAATTGTGTAAAACCCTGGTGTGTGTCTTGGAGAGACTGCTGGATTCCTGTGAGGGCAGTTGCACTCCCGGTTGCAATTCTTTTACCATGTCGTTCTTTCAAGCACCCGGCCTGAGGTGGAACAACTTGTTGAGGGAGCCCGGGGGCACGGGGGGAATTGTGTAAAACCCTGGTGTGTGTCTTGGAGAGACTGCTGGATTCCTGTGAGGGCAGTTGCACTCCCGGTTGCAATTCTTTTACCATGTCGTTCTTTCAAGCACCCGGCCTGAGGTGGAACAACTTGTTGAGGGAGCCCGGGGGCACGGGGGGAATTGTGTAAAACCCTGGTGTGTGTCTTGGAGAGACTGCTGGATTCCTGTGAGGGCAGTTGCACTCCCGGTTGCAATTCTTTTACCATGTCGTTCTTTCAAGCACCCGGCCTGAGGTGGAACAACTTGTTGAGGGAGCCCGGGGGCACGGGGGGAATTGTGTAAAACCCTGGTGTGTGTCTTGGAGAGACTGCTGGATCCCTGTGAGGGCAGTTGCACTCCCGGTTGCAATTCTTTTACCATGTCGTGGCACAGTCGATTAAGGCGCGTCTGGGATCCTCCCAGATGTAGGTTCGAATCCTCATCGCGGCCCTTGTGGATTTCTTCAATTATATGTTGATACGCTTAATACCGCATTAATATCCCCTTCGCTCCGGAAAATCACAGTAACGTGATATATCAATGAGAAAATCCACAGGAGCCGTGATGAGGATTCGAACCTATGTACTTGGTGTTCCCAGACTTGTGGATTTTCTCATTGATATCTCACGTTACTGTGATTTCTCTGTGTACTGAAAGAGTCATCTCGACCACCGCTGCGACTACGTGGTCCTTCGTCAGAGGTAGAATCATCGACATCCTCATAGAGTCCTTATCCTTATCGACAGAGGTCAAAGGCAACCTGCTCTCCTGGACCATAAACTGTCTCATAAACAAAGAAGCATAAACAGAAGGAGTACAGTCTCCGTGGTGTAGTGGTAAGACACTCGCCTGGCGTTCCGCGAGCGCTATGTCATGGGTTCGTATCCTGGCCGGGGAGGATTTACTGGCCGCAATTCCTTAACTGTAGCCTCTGTTTAACGCAACAGTAAAATGTGTACTTGGATGAAAAAACGATTCTTCGCGGCAGGGGATCGTATTCCAGGGACCATAGGATTAAGGACTTGCCCGAAACGCTACGCGTACTAGTGGCTGTACATGAATGTAACAACTCTTGTATATATCTCAAAAAAAAAAAAAAAAGCAAGAGTAAAACTTCATGGCACAGTCTCTGAATACAAAAGACATGAAAATGGTACACTGCAAGGAGGTATTCTCAGCCCTCTTCTCTTCAACTGTTTAATGGATGAATAATGAGGCTGAAACTCCCACATCACCGCAGGCTGCTAAACTACGCGGACGACTTTGTCATCATCATAAAAGGAAGAGATGCGGCGCGCCTTGCACCCAAATGCTTAGACTGCATCAGTAAAGAGGCAAAGTAGATTGATATCAAGCTCAACCCCACAAAGACAAAGGCCATGCCCATAAAAATAGTGAAGCCCAACATCAAACTCACAGTACAGGGTCAACCAATTCATTGGATGAACACTTGTCAGTATCTAGAAATAATCCTGGACACAGATAAATTTTAATGCGAGGTCACTTAAGAGAGAGAACTGCGGCCCGGACGGCAATCCTCAGGTCACTAACCTCCCTCTCTGGAGGAGCCAATCTGCAAGTCATTCGCACATACTATGTACAGGCAGTCAGATCAGTGATCGACTATGCCGCACCTTCACTCACAAGTCTATCACACCAACAGTGGAAAAGGCTTGAAGAAGCACAAAACAATGCTATGAGAGCTGTCTTGGGAGCCCTTGTGTGGACCAGACTTGAAATTCTAAGACTGGAAACGGGTTTTCCCTCTCTTCAAGAAAGAATATCTCAAAGAACAGCTACGATTATCAGTAAGATAACTATTTCTGATAACTAGATGACTTGGCCAAAACAACTTCTTGGGCTGCCAGAGCCGGAGAAGTCCTAAACAAATAAAAAGAATGATTCTTGATAAAAAGGGGGATCAAAAACTACACTTGTCCGCCACAGTGGGAGGAGCCTATCTTCAAAATAGTAATACTATAGAAGGTCTTCCGATGAAAAAGGCGGCCTATGATCCAACAACCCTAAGGCGCATCATAGAAAAGCAAATGTGCAGCATAGCAGTAGCAGGAGTCACCCACTTCTTCACAGAGGGATCGGTGGACACAGAATATGAGAGTGCTGGTGCTGCTGTTTGCACGGCCAGCGTACAGGCATATTGGAGACTGGGAGGACCAGTATCATCAACCCAAACTGAGCTGTTTGCCATACAACAGGCATTCGCATATGTGATTGCCCCAAACACTCAAAATTCAATCATACACACAGACTCAAAAGCTGCACTTTAAATATTAGGAGAAAATTTAATTAAAATATTAGGAGAAAAAGCTGAACTGCATAATCTAAATGGGGCCTAACAAGCGCAAGATATAGTTGAAGAACAACACCAGGTGTCTTGGTACTAACGCTTCAATAAATAAATCCCAGTGTCTCACCTGGGATTTATTTATTGAATAAACAAATAATAAATAAATATTATTGAATGACACAATAAAAATAAATGTATTGAATAATACAATAAATATTTATTGAATGACACCTCCCATGGTTTAGTGTCATGACTTAGGGAAGCTACCGAGGAAACGCTTAGAGGAGTTTCGTTTTTCTCAATACTATAGTTTTACTTAGAAGAGCCGCTCTTTATGGTTAAATGTGCACCAAAGAAAATGGGAATAAACCTTAGTAAAGCGTGAGTGTGATATATGATATTACTCGTGTGAGTGAGCTGTACAGAGCATTATAGAGTTATAGCTATCTTCTCTACAAATGTGAATTTTATTACATGTATTTACCAAAATTTTTGCTAAGCTATATCTACCTTTTTTGTTCGTAAAATAACAATATAACAAGTAATGTATTGCAGATAAATATTTAAATAAAATGATCACTGGCTGAACGGTTAAGACGTTATTGTTAGCCTCGTTAGGTCACTGAACAACCTGTCCTCTTAAAAAGAACGTCGCTTTTGGCCGTTTGCCCGTATGGCCGAATTTGGATGTAATTTGAAAATGAAAAAAAAATGAAAATAAATTTGGGATTTTTTTTTCAACAGCAGTAAGTTAAGGGTCCTCTGATAGGTTAGGTGGGCAGGAAATTCTCATAAAGTTTCAAAACGGTATGAAAAACGTGAATTGAAAGTCACCTATTCTAACCTTACAGAGTCGGCCGGACGACTCGAACAGAAAACGGAAGAGTACGTCACTTTTGTGAGTCGATTTCATTTCAAATTACGTCCAAATTTGGCCATAGTGCGCATACGGGCCAAAAGTGACGTTATTTTTAAGAGGACGGGTTGAAGTATCAGTAGCATAAAAAGATAACATTAGCATACCATCATCCTCTGCGCTGGCGGCCTCAGTATTGGCTCCAGCCTTCAGCAGAGCGCGCGCGAAGTCTAGGTGACCATGAACTGCAGCAATATGGAGAGGAGTGCGGGTGTTAAGGCCAGGGTCGTCCACAGGGACGCCAGCAGACACCAGGGGCGACACAAGGTGGTGATGACCCAACACCGCTGCCAATCCCAGCAGTGTGCAGCCCCCAGCACCGTCGTCTTCAGGAGGCAGCACCACACGTGCATCTCCACCAGCAGCAAGTTGGTGCAGGAATCCCGTCTCGTCGCCACTCCTCACACACGCAGTCTATCAAGAGATTCATTTAAGGTATTATGGTTCACTATCAAAAACAAAACTTATTAACAGTAAAGAACGAGAATATATATATATCTCCATAGCCAATAGTTTTTATATATAAATCATTCGGAAGTTCTCTATAAGGAAAAGTGTGGATATAGGCTCCCAGTAGTACAGCCCGGGTCCTTCTTGACACAGTGAGTGCGCAGGGAACAAGCTACTACTGAAGACAGATTGATGATTGATGAAGATTAAGCCACCCAAAAGGTGGCACGGGCATGAATAGCCCGTAAATGGTGGCCCTTTTGAGCCATCTGTGGAGGTGCGACTGCACCCTGCGTGACGGGAGATGTCTCCCGTGTACTGAAGACAGTCCAAGTTTCCTATATAACCCCAAGCTCTCTGGTGTGGGTAAAGTAGCTCACCCACCATATGCTCCAGCTTCAAATACACAAATTAATTTTCATATATATATATATATATATATATATATATATATATATATATATATATATATATATATATATATATAACTGAAAACTCACACCCCAGAAGTGACTCGAACCCATACTCCCACAACTGGTATGTACAGGGACGCCTTAATCCGCTTGACCATCACGACCGGACATAAGGAAGTGATAGCCGAGGCTATATGAACCACTTCCCCGCCGGCACTCGGATGGTAATCTTGGGCATAGCATTTTATCAAATCACCTCATTCTTTGGGGCACACGTGAGGAACACAAATGCAAACAAGCCTGAATGGTCCCCAGGACTATATACAACTGAAAACTCACACCCCAGAAGTGACTCGAACCCATACTCCCACAACTGGTATGTACAGGGACGCCTTAATCCGCTTGACCATCACGACCGGACATAAGGAAGTGATAGCCGAGGCTATATGAACCACTTCCCCGCCGGCACTCGGATGGTAATCTTGGGCATAGCATTTTATCAAATCACCTCATTCTTTGGGGCACACGTGAGGAACACAAATGCAAACAAGCCTGAATGGTCCCCAGGACTATATACAACTGAAAACTCACACCCCAGAAGTGACTCGAACCCATACTCCCACAACTGGTATGTACAGGGACGCCTTAATCCGCTTGACCATCACGACCGGACATAAGGAAGTGATAGCCGAGGCTATATGAACCACTTCCCCGCCGGCACTCGGATGGTAATCTTGGGCATAGCATTTTATCAAATCACCTCATTCTTTGGGGCACACGTGAGGAACACAAATGCAAACAAGCCTGAATGGTCCCCAGGACTATATACAACTGAAAACTCACACCCCAGAAGTGACTCGAACCCATACTCCCACAACTGGTATGTACAGGGACGCCTTAATCCGCTTGACCATCACGACCGGACATAAGGAAGTGATAGCCGAGGCTATATGAACCACTTCCCCGCCGGCACTCGGATGGTAATCTTGGGCATAGCATTTTATCAAATCACCTCATTCTTTGGGGCACACGTGAGGAACACAAATGCAAACAAGCCTGAATGGTCCCCAGGACTATATACAACTGAAAACTCACACCCCAGAAGTGACTCGAACCCATACTCCCACAACTGGTATGTACAGGGACGCCTTAATCCGCTTGACCATCACGACCGGACATAAGGAAGTGATAGCCGAGGCTATATGAACCACTTCCCCGCCGGCACTCGGATGGTAATCTTGGGCATAGCATTTTATCAAATCACCTCATTCTTTGGGGCACACGTGAGGAACACAAATGCAAACAAGCCTGAATGGTCCCCAGGACTATATACAACTGAAAACTCACACCCCAGAAGTGACTCGAACCCATACTCCCACAACTGGTATGTACAGGGACGCCTTAATCCGCTTGACCATCACGACCGGACATAAGGAAGTGATAGCCGAGGCTATATGAACCACTTCCCCGCCGGCACTCGGATGGTAATCTTGGGCATAGCATTTTATCAAATCACCTCATTCTTTGGGGCACACGTGAGGAACACAAATGCAAACAAGCCTGAATGGTCCCCAGGACTATATACAACTGAAAACTCACACCCCAGAAGTGACTCGAACCCATACTCCCACAACTGGTATGTACAGGGACGCCTTAATCCGCTTGACCATCACGACCGGACATAAGGAAGTGATAGCCGAGGCTATATGAACCACTTCCCCGCCGGCACTCGGATGGTAATCTTGGGCATAGCATTTTATCAAATCACCTCATTCTTTGGGGCACACGTGAGGAACACAAATGCAAACAAGCCTGAATGGTCCCCAGGACTATATACAACTGAAAACTCACACCCCAGAAGTGACTCGAACCCATACTCCCACAACTGGTATGTACAGGGACGCCTTAATCCGCTTGACCATCACGACCGGACATAAGGAAGTGATAGCCGAGGCTATATGAACCACTTCCCCGCCGGCACTCGGATGGTAATCTTGGGCATAGCATTTTATCAAATCACCTCATTCTTTGGGGCACACGTGAGGAACACAAATGCAAACAAGCCTGAATGGTCCCCAGGACTATATACAACTGAAAACTCACACCCCAGAAGTGACTCGAACCCATACTCCCACAACTGGTATGTACAGGGACGCCTTAATCCGCTTGACCATCACGACCGGACATAAGGAAGTGATAGCCGAGGCTATATGAACCACTTCCCCGCCGGCACTCGGATGGTAATCTTGGGCATAGCATTTTATCAAATCACCTCATTCTTTGGGGCACACGTGAGGAACACAAATGCAAACAAGCCTGAATGGTCCCCAGGACTATATACAACTGAAAACTCACACCCCAGAAGTGACTCGAACCCATACTCCCACAACTGGTATGTACAGGGACGCCTTAATCCGCTTGACCATCACGACCGGACATAAGGAAGTGATAGCCGAGGCTATATGAACCACTTCCCCGCCGGCACTCGGATGGTAATCTTGGGCATAGCATTTTATCAAATCACCTCATTCTTTGGGGCACACGTGAGGAACACAAATGCAAACAAGCCTGAATGGTCCCCAGGACTATATACAACTGAAAACTCACACCCCAGAAGTGACTCGAACCCATACTCCCACAACTGGTATGTACAGGGACGCCTTAATCCGCTTGACCATCACGACCGGACATAAGGAAGTGATAGCCGAGGCTATATGAACCACTTCCCCGCCGGCACTCGGATGGTAATCTTGGGCATAGCATTTTATCAAATCACCTCATTCTTTGGGGCACACGTGAGGAACACAAATGCAAACAAGCCTGAATGGTCCCCAGGACTATATACAACTGAAAACTCACACCCCAGAAGTGACTCGAACCCATACTCCCACAACTGGTATGTACAGGGACGCCTTAATCCGCTTGACCATCACGACCGGACATAAGGAAGTGATAGCCGAGGCTATATGAACCACTTCCCCGCCGGCACTCGGATGGTAATCTTGGGCATAGCATTTTATCAAATCACCTCATTCTTTGGGGCACACGTGAGGAACACAAATGCAAACAAGCCTGAATGGTCCCCAAGACTATATACAACTGAAAACTCACACCCCAGAAGTGACTCGAACCCATACTCCCACAACTGGTATGTACAGGGACGCCTTAATCCGCTTGACCATCACGACCGGACATAAGGAAGTGATAGCCGAGGCTATATGAACCACTTCCCCGCCGGCACTCGGATGGTAATCTTGGGCATAGCATTTTATCAAATCACCTCATTCTTTGGGGCACACGTGAGGAACACAAATGCAAACAAGCCTGAATGGTCCCCAGGACTATATACAACTGAAAACTCACACCCCAGAAGTGACTCGAACCCATACTCCCACAACTGGTATGTACAGGGACGCCTTAATCCGCTTGACCATCACGACCGGACATAAGGAAGTGATAGCCGAGGCTATATGAACCACTTCCCCGCCGGCACTCGGATGGTAATCTTGGGCATAGCATTTTATCAAATCACCTCATTCTTTGGGGCACACGTGAGGAACACAAATGCAAACAAGCCTGAATGGTCCCCAGGACTATATACAACTGAAAACTCACACCCCAGAAGTGACTCGAACCCATACTCCCACAACTGGTATGTACAGGGACGCCTTAATCCGCTTGACCATCACGACCGGACATAAGGAAGTGATAGCCGAGGCTATATGAACCACTTCCCCGCCGGCACTCGGATGGTAATCTTGGGCATAGCATTTTATCAAATCACCTCATTCTTTGGGGCACACGTGAGGAACACAAATGCAAACAAGCCTGAATGGTCCCCAGGACTATATACAACTGAAAACTCACACCCCAGAAGTGACTCGAACCCATACTCCCACAACTGGTATGTACAGGGACGCCTTAATCCGCTTGACCATCACGACCGGACATAAGGAAGTGATAGCCGAGGCTATATGAACCACTTCCCCGCCGGCACTCGGATGGTAATCTTGGGCATAGCATTTTATCAAATCACCTCATTCTTTGGGGCACACGTGCGGAACACAAATGCAAACAAGCCTGAATGGTCCCCAGGACTATATACTAAGGATTAAGGCGTCCCTGTACATACCAGTTGTGGGAGTATGGGTTCGAGTCACTTCTGGGGTGTGAGTTTTCAGTTGTATATAGTCCTGGGGACCATTCAGGCTTGTTTGCATTTGTGTTCCTCACGTGTGCCCCAAAGAATGAGGTGATTTGATAAAATGCTATGCCCAAGATTACCATCCGAGTGCCGGCGGGGAAGTGGTTCATATAGCCTCGGCTATCACTTCCTTATGTCCGGTCGTGATGGTCAAGCGGATTAAGGCGTCCCTGTACATACCAGTTGTGGGAGTATGGGTTCGAGTCACTTCTGGGGTGTGAGTTTTCAGTTGTATATAGTCCTGGGGACCATTCAGGCTTGTTTGCATTTGTGTTCCTCACGTGTGCCCCAAAGAATGAGGTGATTTGATAAAATGCTATGCCCAAGATTACCATCCGAGTGCCGGC